CAGCGCCCAGGCCCAGAGTTCAGGCCCCACGACCGGACCCCCCCCAAAAAAAATCAAAGTTCAGGTACATGGCTAGGAAGGAAGGAATACCCTATCTCAAAAATTAGTACAAAAAAGAACTTGGAAGCAGGACTCAGTGGCAGTGCCTGCCTACCAAGTTTGGGGCTCTTCATTCAATCCCTAGTAACAAACACACTTAACACACATCACCCAGGAAAGGATAGCAGTGAGTGCTACAGGCCCCACTAACTGACAGGTTACACCCAGATATGCAAAGCTTACTGACAACTAAAGAGCAAACACCTGATACACTCTCTCCACATGACAAATACAAACAGTCCAGAGCATGAATATGAAATGCAAATCAAAACCAGTGAGAGCTGGGCTTAGTGGCCCAGCAACCAAGAGGACTGAAAATTCTAGGTGAACCCGAGCAAGGGTATCTCAAAAAGTCAACAAAAAACAGCCAAGCATTAGTGGCTCATGCCTATAATTCTGGCTACTTGGGAGGCAGAGAAGGGGAGGATTATGGTTTAAGGCCAGCCCAGGCAAAAAGTTAGCAAGATCAATAGAAAAAGGTGGATACCATAGTGTGAGCCTGTAATTCCAGCTACAGTGCAAAGCTATTAATATGAGGACTGCACTACAGTGGAAAGTATAAATAAGGAGGATCAGAGTACAGACCAGCTTAGGCAAAAAAAAAAAAAAAGTGAGACTCTACTTCAAATATCCAGAGCAGGGCTGGGAATGTGGCTTAGTGGCAGAGTGCTTGCCTTGCATACATGAAACCCTGGGTTCAATTCCTCAGTATCACATACATAGAAAAGACTGGAAGTGGTGCTGTGGCAAAAATGGTAGAGTGCTAGCCTTGAGCAAAAAAAAAAAAAAAAGCCCAGGGCTCAGAATTCAAGCCCTAGGACTGACAAAAACAGAGCAGAGCTGGAGGTGTGATTCCAGTGGTAGAGTGCCAGCCAAGCAAGCAATCCAAGCAAGCATGAGGGCCTGATTTCAAACCCCAATACCAGCAAAAAACAAAACAGCAAAAAGTTCTGGAGGCATGGCTTTAGTAGTAGCAAACATAAAGTCTACATAAAGTCTTAAGTTCATATCCCAGTAACTGCCATACATAGAACACAACTATGAGACTGTTTGGGGAAACAAAGGAGATGTGGGAGAGAGAAAAATAATGAATGAATGGAGAGAGTAGATCGTATGAAGATGGCATAAGGATTTACACTGAAAGTTGTTGAACAACAGGGGGCTGGAGAGATGGGGAGAGCACAATGGAAGGGGTTATTCTGATTAAAATACAATATACACATGTCAAATACCATGGTAAAACCCTTTGGTGCAATTTTTTTTTTTTTTTTGGTCAGTCCTGGGGCTTGGGCACTGTCCCTCAACTCTTCAGCACAGGTGAGCACTCTACTGCTTGATCCACAGCACCACTTCCAGTTTTCTAGTGGTTTATTAGAGATAAGAGTCTCATGGACTTTCCTGCCCGGGCTAGCTTTGAACAGTGATCCTCAGATCCCAGCCTCCTGAGTAGCTAGGAGTACAAGTGTGGGCCACCAGCACCTGGCTTCTTTGGTGCAATTAAAAAAAAAAAAAGAACAAGAAAGTGAGCTCTGTTAGGGTCCAATATCTATGAGGGGGGGAGGATGAATGGAGAGGGTGAGTGAGGAGGTGAATATGGTCTAAGTGCTTTATATATGTGTATGAAAACACAACAATGAAACCTTTTGAAATAATTGTCTTAAGGGATAAGTCAGGACAAGAGATTAATTTATATTGTATGCATGTATGGAAATGTCACAACAATCCTCCCCATTGTACAACTAATGTATGCTAATTTTTAAAAATCTTAATTAAAAATAAAGCCTTTTCAAGGTCAATGCCAGTCAGTAGGCCAACCCCTCACCTAATTCCTGGGCAGGTGGGGCACAGCTGTGGCCTATCACTGAGGCCTCCTTCTGGGAACCCAGCCCCCAGCCCACTTACCGGGTGCTGCTGGGCTCATCCTCAGAGCCTGGCTCCTCATCTGAGGTCAGTGGGGAATAGTGGGCCCCATTGGACTGGCTCAGAGGTCGTTCCTTTTTGAGCACAGGGGGCTGGTCATGGTCGTGGTAAGGGACAGGGGAGCTCTTCAGAGAGTTCTCAGGGGACGAGATGGCTGTAATCTCCAAGGGCTGGTTGATGTTGCTGACCTGAGGTGTCAGAGATTTAAAAAAACACACATGCAGCTGGGTGCCAGTGGCTAACACTTATAATCCTAGCTGCTCAGGAGGCTGAGATCTGAGGATTGCGGTTCAAAGCCAGCCTGGGCAAGGAAAATCCACTAGACTCTTATTTCCAATTAACCACCAGAAAACCAAAAGTGGCACTGTGGCTCAAAATGGTAAAGCACTAGAGCCTTGAGCTAAAGAGCTCAGAGACAGCTTCCAGGCCCAGAGTTCAAACTCCATGACCAACAAAAGAAAAAAAAAAATACACAGGCAGACCACAAACTGGACCAATGGGCCCTGAAGCAGGATTCCTAATTTAAGAGCTGCATAAAGACTTCTGGCCCCTCAGAGTTCAACCTAGGGCTTAGCACCCCCTCATCCTGTGCCAAGCCCCACCAAGTCCCAGTCAAGCTCTCCTGACCACACTAGGTTCTGCCTCCCCCCACACCAAGCTGTCCTGTCCTTACCATAGAGTTGAGGTTGAGGGGGGACCCTGAGGACTGTGTGAAGAGGCCAGCAACAGTAGGCAGGGCCCTGCGCTTGGGGGACACGCCTGCACTCAGGCTGGGGGTTCCAGCTGATGCACGCTTCCTTCTGCCACGTTTTCGGCTGTCCTGCCCATGGCTCTGCCCACAGTCCCCACGGGTATTCGCCGCCAGGGGGCTGTGCTTGGTTGAAGGTGACTGCTTGGTGTTGCCTGTGCCAGCTGAGATAGTGAACACAATTCTCCTCTTTGCCTCATTCTCCGGGTCCGAGAAGCCAGAATCAGAAGGCAGGTCTCCTTTGCCAGCATCAGGCAGCAGGCCCTGAGTAACCCCACTGAACCTGGGGCTGGCAGAGAGCTGGGGGATAGGAGAGGTGGGGCCAGAGTTCCGAGGCTGTGTCAGCAGAGGAGGGTGCTGTGGTGTTGTACTGCGGGACCCCACCATGGTGAAGAGGCTCCCCGAACTGGAGGACTCGTCAAAGGCAGCTGACTCAGCTCCAGAGGCCAGTTGTGCTGGGCTGCTAGCCAGGGCCCCACTGATGGCCACCGAGCCAGTGTAGAAGCCTGCCAGAAAGGACACGAGATCTTCAGGTGTCTGAGACTGCAGAGCAGGACACAGGCAGCCCCATCCTGGCTAGGTGGCTCTCCATTTCCCACACCAGGTTTGCTTCTACCAACCTTCTCTACAGAGCCCAGGGTCTATTCTGCACACTATACACCCTGCCCTCCCATGTGAGGGCTCAGCTCAGACACCTCCTCTGTAGGATATCTTTCTGGAGATAGCCCTGCCAGCTAGATGTTCTGAAAGCAAAGGAGGTCACCCTGCTATTGCCCTACGTACACTTAAATCTTCTCCCTTTTTGGTACAAAAGGTGATTTGGGGCTCAAAACCTTGCACTGCTTGCTGAGAAGTCACAAAAACAGAAGTTCCTAACTGTGGCCCATGAAGAGGGGCCAGCCAATAGTTTGGCAGTGGGTCAAGGGAAATAAGTGTGGTGGGTCACTGCTGGCAGCCTGGACTCAGCATTGATGAGGCCAGTGACACAAGAGTTTTGTCCCTCATGCTGCATTGTGTGATGAAGCCATCAGCAACTGAGAGACAGACTCCACAATCACAGGGTGCCAGAAAACACCTCCAGTACAAGCACCTCATGTGTTGTATAGTTCCCTAGTCATGTATAACAGCTCAGCACCAAAAGCAGATGGCCACTTACCTGTATCTACCTGTGTGGCTTAGAAGACCAGGGGGCCTGATGGCATCCTGAGCTATAGATGAGCCTCGGGCTGTTAGGCCATGACACAGGAAACAGAAGTGGACAGGTGCTAGAGGGTAGGGGAAGTTGTGATTCTTCCCATTCTAGAGACCACAGGCTCTTTAGAGCCTGGAGATACAAGGCCATAAGCTTGTCTCACAGCAGGTACCTAACTGCTCCCCAATATGGTCCCTGCATAGAGCTCCTATCTAGAAACTTCCATAGTGCCTTACACAGAGCTAGACCTTATCTAGCCTAGAGAAGTCACCACAGGATGAAGCCACCAGCTTTCCAAGGTGTCTCAAGCAGCCCCAGTTGGGTAACTAGCCCCTCTCTCAGCACCAGGCAAGGAGACCACAGAGAAGCCTGTGCACATAGAGACCATGTGGACACTCCTGAGAGTTAACTGCCAAACAGGCCTATGTCACTGCTGGCCTGAAGGATTCTAGCTCATTGGTCTATGCTCTACAACCAGTGTGACTAAGAGTTTACTTGCACACAGCCATGTCCTGTTATTCAGGTACATCTGCTATATACTCCCAATTAGGCTTAATAGTTATGTCAAAGGCCAACCAAGAGATCTCCCTTGCCCTTTAAGGAGACGATAAAGCTCTTTCATCACCATGGACAGCGATCAATTCTTAGGCCCCAGAAAACCCCAACTTCAGGCTGAGCAGGTGACCTGGAATAACATCTGGCAAGCACAGTTTACCTCATAGGCTGGGATCAAACCAGATGCACCAGGCTGACACAGAGCTCATTTTCCCACAGCTGAAGGACAAGAAAGCACTACTAGCAATGCCCAGTGGCATAGGGTCATGGGCCAGAGTCCCCAGAAACCCCCATTTATCCACTTTAAAGGCTTGGAGGGACAGGTTACCTGTGGGTGCCAGAGTGAGGCTCCTGCTCCCTGCAGCACTGCCCCCAGCAACATGGGCATTAGCACCAATCTGCTTCTCAAGTGTGGACGAGGAGTCTCGAGGCTGCGGCACAGGACTTGGGGTGCTCCTCTGCCAGAGAAATCCACAGTGGATCAGTGGCAACAGCAGGAGAGGGCTTGGGGAGAGTTCTGGAGCCAGCCAGATATGGGGGTCAGGGCCACTTAAATGTTGGATAAAGGCCACGGGGACAGAACTGTGGCTGTGCTAAAACCCCCAAAACTTCAAGTGGATTTTAGGTGAATTATATTCAATCCCTACCTTATCCCTAAAAAGAGTCATATTAATCTTTTTGTTCCACCTCACCCATTTCAAACAGGGTGCTTCTGGCATCCATGTACCAGTTGCCAGGTTTCAGCCACAAGATTGGAGTTGTCCTGAGTGGGAATTCCCTAGACTTTCCTCTACCAGCTCACATGCCTTTCACCAAAAAATACCAAAAACAGAGATGGGTACCAGTGGGTGGCTCATACCTATAATCCTAGCTACTCAGGAGGCTGAGATCTGAGGACCACAGTTCAAAGCCAGACCAGGCAGATTCTTATATTTGATAATTATTTCAAATAATTATCAAAAAATCAGAAGAGGGAGGGCTGGAAAGGTAGCTCAATGGTAAGAGTGCTTGCCTCTCATGCATGAGCCCTTGGGTTTGATTCCTCAGCACCACATAAACAGAAAAAGCCAGAAGTGGGTGCTGTGGTAAGAGCACTAGCCTTGAGCTGAAGAGCCCAGGGACAGTGCCCAGGCCCAGCATTTAACCTCCATGACTGACAAAGGAAAAAAAAAAAAAGCCAGAAGAGCCAGGCACCAGTGGCTTACTACTATAATCTTACGACTTAGGAGGCTGAGATCTGAGGATCACCGTTCAAAGCCAGCCTGGGCTGGAAGGTCCGTGACTGTTATCTCCGATAAATTACTCAAATAAAAAAGAAGTGGCAGGGCTGGGAAGGTGGCTCAGTGGTAGAGCACTTGCCTTGCATGCATGAGGCCCTGGGTTCAATTTCTCAGCACCACATAAGCAAAAAGGAAAAAAAAAAGCCGGAAGTGGCGCTGTGGCTCAAGTGGAAGAGTGCTAGCCTTGAGCTGAAGAGCTGAGGGACAGTGCCCAGGCCCAGAGTTCAGTCTCCATGGCTGGACCCCCCCCCCAAAAAAAAAGTGGCACTGTGGCTCTAATGGTAGAGTGCTAGCCTTGAGCACAAGAAGCTGGGGGGGGGGGAGCTCAGGGACTGTGCCTAGGCCCAGGGTTCAAGCCCCAGGACCTGCAAAAAAGGCATAAATGAAGGTGTGGTTCAAGCGGTAGAGCACCAGCTGCAGCAAAAGGAGTTCAAGCCCTAGTACTGGCACAAAAAACACACCACCCAAACACGAAAACCCAAGATACCCAAGATACACCACAATAAAACCCAGACTTGATACTGTCTGTTCTGGGGATTGTCCATTCTTGGGATGCTTGGGATTTAACAGCATGCAACAGAATAAATCTTGCCACAAAAACACAAAGCCCAAAATTAACCCCACACATCCACAACCAGCCCAGGCTCACCACCCTTTCGGCGCGACTGGGCAGCACCACACTGGCCAGGGGGATGCTGACGGGGAGCTTGTTGGGCTGCACCGTGCTGAGTGGGATGCTGATGGGCAGGCTAGTGATGGTCTCCCCCTGGCTGCCATAGGAGCGTTCCTTCACACCCTGCCAATAAATACCACATTATCTACTGCAGGCCCAGATAAGAGGAAGGTCCACAGGCAGGAGATAGGGGCACAACTCTGTTTGGCCAAACAAGGACCCTTCAGATAGTCAGCCACTGAGTCCCTTGATACCCCCCTGAAGAGTGGGAACACTGGTGTCTTCCCACATTGTTCTTCCTCCTCCTGACCTCTTGATGCTATAATGGCCTTGCCTGTGGCCACCTCAACCTCCCAGGGCCCCTTCACAACCTCCACCCCATTCCTGCACAAATCCAAGGCAGGGTCCCCATGGCAGATCCCCTGGGCAACCACTTCCTAAACTCCAGCATCATGCCAGTGCCTTGGTTTCTATACAGAGAACAAAGTTGCCCAAGGGAGATATGACAAGCTCGTCTCTATAACCCACAGTACAGTACCCACCAGTACCCACTGGTGTCACATGTCCCATCTATGCCCATCTACCTCCTCCCCGGGTACCCAAAATTAGGGTTCTATGAGCCCCTCTAGGCCACACTATAATCCCTCCTAACAGGTATGCTCAGGCTGCTTCTAATGAGCACCCTCAAAATTTGGGGAGCTCTGGGACACAGGCACAGAAAGAAGGAAGAACCAGATCTCACCTTCTCGTTGCTCTTTTCTCCTGCTGTGGGCAATGACCCAGGGGAGGGAGGTCGTGGGTCCTGGGGGCTCAGCTTCATGCTGTTTGACAAGCCTGGGCTCTGGTAGGGTAGGTTGTTTTCCTTGGTGTGCTCAGCTCTGTGATGAGAGGCTGTGTTACTTGGGAGCCTGCGTAAGCTGTGGGCTTATATGCGCAAAGCTGGCAGCACAGACCTAGCAAACCCCACCTGTCTTTCAAATGAATATATTCCTGCTAGGTGTGGACAGGTGAGCACAGCATGCAGAGCACTGCACTCACCGTGGGTGTGGCTCACTGGTAGCTGCCTTGCCAGCTGCAACATGATCCTGACCCAGGTGCCTCCTTAGAACGATCTTGGCAGGGGACAGCCGAGTATAGTCAGGCAAGGCCAGACCAGATAGCTTCTCTAGCCGTGGCCGACCACTGTGATTGGGGGTACAGGGCACGACCTCCTGGTCCAAGGGAGAAGCCAGATACTGGGGGGTGTTCTGCTTGGATGAGGGTCGGCTCAGAGCACTGCAGAGCTCATAACTGGCAGTGTGACCATTCATAGAGAGCTCCGGGCTCATGCTACTGAAATTAGGCAGGGAAAACTTGGCACAGTCCAGCTCAAGGTGCAGCCTGCCAGCATCAGCTTCTAGCTCACGGCCCAGGGTGCCCTTCCCACGCAGATGCATGGACAGGGTGTCATCAGGCGGCACATAGGACTTCAGCTGCAGGAGCTCCTGCTGCCGCTGGCTCTTCTCCAACTCCACAATGCTGATCTGTGGGATAGCAGGCAGGAAAGACCAAGTAAGTGGGACAAGGCTGCACCTGCCCTAAGGTGTACCACACAGGCCGGGAGTCATTTGTCCACTGAGACTCTGAGAGGATTCTGTGAAGGAGCAAAGGCTAGCTACCAAGAGCTGCCAGGACACCCACTGCTTGTGCAGGAAAGGAAAACCAAAACGTATCTCTACATAAAAACTCCATGCCACCAGTGGCTCACACCTATAATCCTAGCTACTCAGGGGGCTGAGATCTGAGGATCACAGTTCAAAGCCAGCCTAAAAGTCTGTGAAATTCTTACCTCCAATAAACTACTCAAAAAACCTAAAAGTAATGCTATGACTCAAGTGGTAGGGTGCTAGCCTTGAGCAAAAGCAGCTCAGGGGCAGTGCCCAAGCCCAAAATTCAAGCCCCAGGACCGCACTTTCTCTCTCTCTCTCTGCTGGCTCTCAAAAGCTAAGTAGGTAGGTTATTACCTGGATGGGAAGACTGCTTCAGGGACAAACTTGTGGAATCAAGCTTGTTTTGGTAATGATGGCAAGCAAATACATCTAATTTTTTTTTCTTTTTTTTAAGATAGGGTCTTACTATGTAGCTTAGGCTGGCCTAGGACTCAGTTCTCTGATTCTGGGATTATATGCCATCAGCTGTCATACCTTCAACTACTTTCTCTACTTGACATAGTGAACAGTTCTCATCACCAGAAATTATGAGCTGGTTTCTTTGATTCCTTTCCCTTCCCTTTTCCTTCCTTTCCTTTCCTTTCCCTCCCTCCTTCCCTTCCTTCTGCTCCCTCCCCCCCCCCTCTCCTTTTTTGTTGCCAATCTTGGGGCTTGAACTCAGGGCCTGGGCACTGTCCCTGAGCTTCATTTGCTCAAGGCTAGCACTCTACCACTTAAGCCACAGCACCACTACCGGCCTTTTCAGTTTATGTGGTACAGAGTTATTGAATCCAGGGCTTAATACATGCTAGGCAAGCATTCTACCGCTAAGCCACATTCCCAACCTATGAGTTTTCTGATTAAGCAAATTCTGTCAGTGATTGTTTCAAAAAGTACTTGCTGGAAGGCCTTCAGAACCTAAGTTTTAGATACCACCTCCATGTTGACAGCCTGAGGACCTCAGGGACCCAGCAGAACAGGTAGAGCGTGAGGGCCTGAGGCCCCAACAACCTATTCTTCCAAAGTGGGAAGATGGGGTCTGGCCTGTGACATTACCACATGGATGTCCACTGGGCCCCAAACCCCACCTGCAGCTCTAGGCAATGCCGCTGCTTCTCAGAGATCTGGCTCCGCAGGGCCTGTTTCTCTTTCCGAAGGTTCTCCAGGGACAGTGTGGCCCAGTCCAACTTTAACTCCTCACACCGGGCCCTGAGCTGTGGGAACAGGGACAAGAGATTGACATTGAGTCCAGCAGGTAGGTTATTACAGGTACTCAATAGCACAGAGGGCCATTATCTCTGGCCAGGGTACTTGACACAACTGCCTGGCTTCCATGCCTGGAATGGTATAAAGAAGCCAAGAAGCCAGGGTCCCCCTTAGAATTATATGTCACATCATCATCACCTGAACTCAGAGTGAGATGCAAATGGCCATGTGACAAATGAACAACTCCATGAGAAATGAAAGCCAAGAGGTCCCCAGAGTAGTCTAGGGGAACACCCTGCTCTAGTGAATCCTCTGAGGTGTCTGAGTGGATCTGAGGTTATCTGGTGTGTTCTGGCACACTTAACAGGGCTCCATAGACAACTCTGTAGCACAGGACAGGATTAGGGGGAGCCCCAGAACCTCCTACTGCAGATGAGTGGTCATGGGAACGTAGTCCCCTTAGGATCCTGCCCCTCTGCACCCAGGGCCCACACAACTGCCCAAGGAATCAGGTTGACAGGCCCTTGGCTTAATAGCTGTGAAGAGAACCCAATCCTCCACTCAGGACTCCATTTTCTGGTATATTCATAATGGCTGCCCAGATGGGTGCATATGCACACACCAGCTGCAGACTCTGGCTCCGGAGTTCAAGGTTGTCTCTCTCTAGCTGCTCTGACTGCTCCCGCAGCTGCTGGTTGTGAGCAGAGATCTCCTTCTGAGCCTGGATTAGATCATTGTAGGTCAGCGCCTTCACTCCCAGCTGGGAACAAGGAGGACAAGAGAGTAAGTAGAGTTCTGGTGTGCAGGCCACAGGTAATAACATGGGTAAGAAAAGGGATGGATGAAAGGGAATGGGCCTCTTACTTCCTTGGGGACACTGAAGGAAGAGACAAAGGGGTTGACCACCCAAGCATTGCTCCAGGACCAAAGTAGACCAAGCTGTCCACACCTGATTAAGCCAGCAGGCCAACCCTTCTCCCCAGACTCTATGCCATTCTCTCAACACAACACTTTCTTTCACTCAAGGAAAGGAAGTCTAGGGAAGAAACCATCCCTAGACTTCCCATTCCCCATTCCACCAAATCCCAAACTATGGCATGGACAAACATGATGGCATAGCCTTGAGGCACTACCTCATCCAGTTTCTGCTGGAAGAGTCTCCGGATCTCTTCTTTCTGGGCCTGGCAGTGGCCCAAAAGCTGCTGTGCTGTGCCCAGCAACTGTGTGTTCTTCTCCTGTGGGTGGGATGCGTGGCAGGTAAGTCCAGAGCCCACCAGAAAAGGATAACCAAGCTCTTTCCCCGAGGGCTGTGCTCAAGCCCCCTATGGAACACCTTCGTAGCACTGGAACCAACACTGGAGTGAAAAGCTGGAACCCGCCCCTGGCAGCAGGACAGGTAGGCAGGTGGCTCTGGGGCTGAAGCCACACACACCTTCTCCTGGTCCAGCAGCTGTTGCAGGTTGGCCTTGTACTGGGGCGTCTTCGTGTAGGCCAGGAACTGCAGGTACTGGATCTTGAAGGACTCTGGAGAGATATGGAGAGTAGGTTTAGAAGATAGCACATACACATACAGAAACAAACCCTGCAATTGGGGGGGGGGGGGAGATGAAGACACAAACATTCATTTGGAATGTTTTGGAAGCCTGCTACAATTGCCTGCCATCTGTCTGTGACCTCAGCTCTTCTCAGTTTACCATTACACACCAGGTGTCACGGTTACAGAGGGCAGTTCTACATCCTCCTAGCACAGACCACTCAAGAGTAAGTTCCTCTCTGTGGGAGCATCCTAAGTGCTATAGGGTACTGGACAGTGTCCCTGAACTATACCTACTCCACGACAGAAGCTCCCCTAATCATGACAATGACCCAGGGTCCCCCAAGGTAAGTCAACCTCAGTTGCTCACAAGAGGCCTGTGAGCCTCTATTGACCCATCTAATGGGCCTGCCAATCCAGTAAGTCCATGCCAATCCAACAGTTCCATGCCCCTATTCTGTGTAGTGAGGTCAAAGCCATGACATACAGAATGCACAAAATATCCGAGGACCACCAAAAATGGCCAGGGCTACTGCCCAGCTGAGCTTCTCTGGGAAGCAGCTCACCTAGCAGCTTCTGCAGTGCAGGCGGGGTAGGTGCCACCAGCAGTGGGGTGGGAGAATGCCACTGTGCACTTGGAGGTAGCTGGTAGCATGGGCTGTTGGGTGACCTGTAAGCATCTGCAGGAGAAAGTAGTATTCCGTATTAGCCACCAGCCATATGCCCAAGAGCCTTGCCTATTTTAAGCACTTTCTGACTTTGCAAATCTGAACTCAAATATCATTCTTGGAGTCCAGAGAATACCACACGCCACCACCTCTTCGCAGCACTAACCCCCACAATAAATCAACCCCCAGACTGGTAGAAAGATGCCCAGATGCTCCAGATTCTATATGATGATACCCTCTTGGTGAGGACATAAAGGCCCTCATGGAATCAGGGAGACCCTAGCAGGCCTGGCAGGGGGAGTGTGAGCAAGTGTTGCAGCCTCTAGACTTGGGCTCTCTCCACAGATTAGAACTACAGGAAAGGGCTCTGGGGCTGGGGTAGGGGCTCACCTTGGGGAGAGGGGGATGTGGTCTGGGATGTGGTCTGGGTGTTCAGGAGATCCAGTGCAGTTTGGTTCTTCTTGGGCTTACGTTCAGGGTTTGCAGTGCTCATTTTCTTGGGACGTCCACGCTTTCGACCAGCCATTTTCCTCCCTTTCTTGTTCAACTTCTTCTTCCGAGCTTTGGAGGGAGATGGCTTTTTGACAGTGGCCACCCCAGCCTTTTCTTCCTCAGCACCAGAATCCTAATGGGCAGAGGAAGGGCAATGAAGGGCATGGCAGGAATGACACCTAGCTAATGACAAAGACCAGGATGGGGGCTCTGAGGCCATGGAGAGCAGCTGCTTTTATGAGAATTAACACCTGCCGGCAGCCCAGAGGGCACCCAGTACTTCCTTATGTACCCTCAGCTGTGCGCAGGGCAGGGCACCTTACCACGGTGGCTTCAGCGGGTCCAGCCGCTTTGCTCTCTGGGACTTTGGTAGGGGTGGTGGCATTACTCTTGTTCTCTCGCTGCTGTCGGCGCCGAGCTGCCTCTTGTTCCTCCTGAAAGAGTTGGATGAGAGGCTAGAAGGTGCCAGAAGGCGCTAGTATAGTCCCAGCTCTGCCCACGCCACAGATGAGGAAACAGAGTTACAGAGTGACTCTGTGACAGGACACTCACGATGCACATGCACAAACATGCCAGGTCCACAGGAAACCAGGCACCTATTGGCACTCTTATCTGTGAAAGTACTCCAAACACAATCAGATCGACAGACCCTGAGGACAGATAAAGGCTAAGAGCCCCCCTGAAGCTTGGAGATACAGAGTCCACATGCATATCTCCATGTAGATATAGTCATGTAGATATAGACTGAGGGACCATGCAATGTCTAGGGAAGAATGTCAGATCATGCCAGCCAGACTGGGACATTTCCATCTGTCCTTAAGACCCTCATTCCAAGGCTGGGAAGGTGGCTCAGTGGTAGAGTGCTTGCCTTGCATGCATGAGGCCCTGGGTCTGATTCCTCAGCACCACATAAGCAGGAAAAAAAAAAAAGCCGGAAGTGGCACTGTGGCTCAAGTGGTAGAGCACTAGCCTTGAGCTAAAGAGGTGAGGGACAGCGCCCAGGCCTAGAGTTCAGGCCCCACGACTGGACCGAAAAAAACCCAAAGACCCTCATCCCTGGGCAAGAATGAAGGCCTAGGTCTCAGAGGATTGGATGGGGGCTAAGCTTCCCCAAGCCAGACACAAAAAACGGAGGGAGCCTCTGCCAACACTGACTATCTTGGACCTCAGAAAGGAAGGTCACAGGGATGGGCCTGTGTACAGCTAGAACATGAGAAGTACCATACAGCAGACTATGGCCCAGTCTCCATCGGTTACCAGGAACAAGGCAGTACAGCACAGCAGCTCACATCTGGTATCCAGCACATACACCATAGCACCCAGGAAGGATTTGACTTACCAGTCTTCCCTAGACTACTAGTCCTAGCAGGAAGTACACCCACTTAAGCCCAATAGAGAAAAGGCCAAGCACAGACAGGGGATAATGAAAGAGGGTGGGAAAGCATGGCTCGGCCACATGAAGCGCTGTGGCTCAGCAATCTAGCACTTAAAACTTCACAAAGCAAACACATTCATATTACTTAGTCAAGAAGAAACACAAACTTACCCTGAGTTTTGGGTTTTTCAGACTAGAAAAATAGTTTTCAAGCTGAAAAGAAAAAAAAAGTTATTAGAAGTGAGTCCAAAGCTTGATGTAATTCCAGCAACTTTAAGAATTTGAAAGCAGGTAGGGTAAAGGTAGCAGTATCCTGTCTCAAAAACAAAACACAACAAAAAGTGCTAGGGTGTGACTCAAGTGGTTAAGAGAGTTTATCTAGCATATCCAAGGCCCTAGGTTAAAGCACCAGTACCACCAAAAAAAAAAAAAAAAAAGCCAGGGGAAACTACTAAAATACCCCTGACAGCAGCAGTGAGCAAAGGCTGGGCCCCATCAGGGGAGCCAAAGGTGGAAAACCTGGGTGAGACTGAACCAGAAAGAGCCCAGAGGTGACTCAGTACTGTCTTGACTCCTGTTATGCTGAGTCCTTGCCTTCTTTGGCTTGCTATGGGCTCCCTGTTCAGCTTGCCAATATACAAAATAGACCATATGGCCACAGGACTGAGTAGCTAAAGTGTCAAGACTGCTAGTATGGGACTGGCAACAGGTGGGAGGCTCACATCTCAGCCCAGGAACAGAAATTTTTCATCACTTCCAATAGAGAGGCCGAAGTATCCCTGTCTGTGGTGGTCACCAGTTTATATCGAAGTGTGCCCAGGAAAGATCCAAACTGAGGCTCTAACTAGTGGCAGATGCATACAAAATGGAAAAAAAAATATCCAAACATGTAGATCTGTTCAAAGGTCCTATGTCTAGGACAACAGAGCCAATTAAGAGAGGACAGGATAGGGATGATGCCCCAGATCAAGGAAGGAAGGAAGAGGCAATGGTAGGAAAGAAAAGCAGGTCAGGGGGCTAGGAAGGTAGCTCAGAAATAGAGTGCTTGCCTCGCATGCATGAGGCCCTGGGTTCGATTCCTCAGCACCACATAAGCAGAAAAAAGTAGTTCAATGGCTCAAGTGGTAGAGTGCTAGTCTTGAGCTGAAGAGCTGAGGGATAGCGCCCAGGCCCGGAGTTCAGGCCCCACAACCGACAAGGAAGGAAGGAAGGAAGGAAGGAGAGAGACAGGGAGAGAGGGAGGGAGGGAGAGGGAGAGAGGGAAGAAGGGAGGGAGAAATAGAGAGGGGGGAGAGTGAGGGAAGAAGAGGAAGGAAGGAAGGAAGGAAGGAAGGAAGCCAGGCAGGCAGGCAGGCACGCAGGCAGGCAGAAGAGGTGAAAACGAAAGCCCACCCCCTATAGCCCCAGACCCCTGGTTCATACAGAATGAACTGAGAAAGAGCAATGAAAACACAGGACTGCTCTCCCCAGACACTGGAGGCCTATGGGTAATGAAGTAGATCCCATATCCTGTGTTAGGAAGATGTGTGCCCAGACTAGGATCTGAGAACCAGAACTGTTGCACACCTCACCCAGGTCCCAGTCCACATGTTCCATTTCTGCCAAGGACCCACCCGTGCCTATAGTATAGCGAATAGCCTTCAGTGATACCTAAGCAGAAGGGGTATTCTGAAGGAGTGTCTCATGGGCAGTGTGGGGAAAAGGCAGGTGGAAAGTGGGACCCTCAGGGTGGGATAGCACCCCACAGTATACTCACTATGGTGCGGTCAATGGTATGTAAATAGTAGGAGACTGGCTTCCCCGTCCATGACACGGAGCCCTTCAGGGGCGACAGCTCTACCACACGCATGATGGTACCAATGTCTGCAGGGAGGAGACAGGTCAGGGCCGTGTCTGGACCAACCCTACAAGAGGCGCATGTGCACATCATCGCAAAGGCCCTGGCAGTTAGGGAGGGGGCAGAAAACTTGAACTAAAGCCAACCTCCTGAAATGTGGGCCAGGCCTATGACCATATCTACCCACTACATTGAGTGTGACTAGCAATGTCTCCAAGCCTGATCCAGATACCAGCAGGGATGATGGGGCCAGCTCTTGGAGATGCAAGCCCAAGCAGCAAGCCCAATCAAATAGGCTCACAAGAGCCCTTTTTTGTTGTTGCTCTTAGTCATAGGGCTTTAACTTGGGGCCTGAGTGCTGTCCCTGAGCTCTTTTGCTCAAGGCTAGTGCTCTACCACTTTGAGCCACAGCACCACTTCGGGTTTTCTGGTGGTTAATTAGAGAAAAGAGTCTCACAGACTTTCCTGCCTGGGGTGATTTGAGCCGTGATCTTCAGATCTCAGCTTCCTGAGTAGCTAGGATCACAAGTGTGAGCCACCAGAGACCAGCAAAAGAGCCCTGCTTTATAACCTGGAAAGAACTTAGATGATGGCTAAGAGAATGGCATCACCTAATGGAACATGGCCTAAGGGAGCAGGCCAAAGGAAATCCTGTAGTGACCAGTTAGTCTGCAGCTTTGTCTACCCAAGGCCTCTTCCTGGCTTTAGGGTCTGTGATTCACCATACTTTCTCTTAAACTACAAGTCTTATTTGAAGTGATTCTACCTCCAGGGGAGGCTGGACAATGACTGGGGGTATGTGTGGCTGTCACAACGGAGATGCTCCTGCCTTGTCACAAATGGAGACCAAAGCATTACTCTACATTCTACAGTGCTCAGGATGCCTTCACAGAGGACCAGGCCCAGTATCACTATTGCTCAGGGAGTCTCCCTGTCCTAATGCACCTCAGCAGCTTAAAGTCATTCCACTAACAAACTGAACAAGGAAGCAGAGCACCAGCCTTGAGTGAAAAAGCTAAGAAACAGCCCCAGGGCCAGCGCACACGCGCGCGCATGCACACATGCACACACGCGCGCGCGCGTGCATGAACGGATGCATGGCAGTGAAGCTCAAGTGCTAGAGTAACAGACCTGAGCAAAAAAAAGTAAGAGCTTAAGGCCTTAAATTCAAGCCCTAGTGAATTGGCACACACACACACACACACACACACACACACACACACACACGCTTAAAAAATTAAGTGGGCACCAGTGGCTAATATTTATAATCCTAACAACTCAAGAGGCTGAGATCTGAGGATCAAGGTTTGAAGCCAGTTCAGGCAGTAAAGTCCACAAGGCTATTTCTAATTAACCAACAAAAAGGTCCAGTGGACCCATGGCTCAAGTGGTAGACTACCATCCTTGGCCAAAAAAGCTCAAGGATAGACCCTCAGACCTAAGTTCAAGCTCCAGGACCAGCACAAAAACAAGCAAATAAATAGTATCAGGTACTAGTGGTTCAAGCCTGTAATCCTAACTATTCAGGAGGCTAAGATCTGAGGATCCCAGTTCAAAGCCAGACAGGAAAGTCGCTGAGACTCTTCTCTCCAATTAACCACGAGAAAACTGAAGTGGCACTGTGGCTCAAAGTGGTAGAGCACTAGCCTTGAGCAAAAGAGCTCAGGGACAGCACCCAAGCCCCGAGTTCAAGCCCCATGACCACTACAAACAACAACAAAATTAAATTAAATGAACATTTCTTACCACTCAAGTTTCTGCTGTTTATTCTGAAGTTCAGAGGTGCAAAGGGTTTTGAGGACACAATTCTGCCACCTGAAACAAGAAAACCCATTACTGCCATTTGAAGGGAAAATAAATTGTGTGTGTGTGTGTGTGTAAAGTGTGAAATTTAAAAGAGTACAGAGAGGAGCCGGGAATGTGACTTAGTGGTAAAGTGCTTGCCTAGCATGCATGAAGCCCTGGGTTTGATTCCTTTCCACCAGAAAACTGAAGTGGCACTGTGGCTCAAGTGGTAGAGCTCTAGCCTTGAGCACAGAGATGCTCAAGAACAGTGAGCAGAACAGTACGCAGGCCCTGAGTTCAAGCTCCAGGCAGGACCAACAACAACAACAAAAAGAGTACAGAAAGAACCTAAAGAAAAAAATTCGCATTTTGAATACATAAATAACAATCCTGTCCATTTTCCTTTTCCCATCAGTGCTGGGTTTGAACTCAAGGTCTCATGTTTGCTCAGGTTGCTTGCTAGGTGATCTGCCTCCAGACATGCTTTTTACTGGTTATTTTGGGGAGGATGGGCGTTTCAAGACTTTTTCTGCCAGGGCTGACTTCAAACTACAATATTCCAGATCTCAGCTTCCTTGGTAACTAAGATTACCAGAACAAACCACCAGTATCTAGCTTCTCTCCATTTTCTTACAAGAAAAGGATATTATGTCCACTAGGTTAAGCCTAGTGGCAAAATAACTTGCTCTCCAGTTCTCACAAAATCCACCTTCTACTCAATGACAAACAGAACAAAAGATGGACCCTGAAGGGGCTGGGAAGATGGCTCAGTGGTAGAGCACTTGCCTTGCATGCATGAGGCCCTGGGTTCGATTCCTCAGCACCATATAAGCAAAAAAAGAAAAAAGCCGGAAGTGGCACTGTGGCTCAAATGGTAGAGCGCTAGCCTTGAGCTGAAGAGCTGAGGGACAGCGCCCAGGCCCAGAGTTCAGGCCCCACAACCAGACCAAAAAAAAAAAAAAAGATGGACCCTGAAAAGCAAACCTCCATGGACAGCAGTAACCTTGCACTGTGAGTGGCACCCGGATGTCCTGGGAAGAGAGTCACAGAAGGACCTAGGGAGAAAGATCACTGAGAGCACTGTAGCCCCCCAGTTTTATCATTACATGGGAGAAGCAGGGCAATCAGCTAGCACATGGAAAAACAGCTTCCTCAAAAACCCACTGTGCCGTGGCTTGTTTCCCTTTAGAAGGTAGTTGTATCACCTGTCTTGTTTTATTTTAAAACAAACTGTAAAGAACTCTAAGGGGCTGGGAAGGTGGCTCAGTGGTAGAGCACTTGCCTTGCATGCATGAGGCCCTGGGTTCGATTCCTCAGCACCATATAAGCAAAAAAAGAAAAAAGCCGGAAGTGGCACTGTGGCTCAAATGGTAGAGCGCTAGCCTTGAGCTGAAGAGCTGAGGGACAGCGCCCAGGCCCAGAGTTCAGGCCCCACAACCAGACCAAAAAAAAAAAAAAAGATGGACCCTGAAAAGCAAACCTCCATGGACAGCAGTAACCTTGCACTGTGAGTGGCACCCGGGATGTCCTGGGAAGAGAGTCACAGAAGGACCTAGGGAGAAAGATCACTGAGAGCACTGTAGCCCCCCAGTTTTATCATTACATGGGAGAAGCAGGGCAATCAGCTAGCACATGGAAAAACAGCTTCCTCAAAAACCCACTGTGCCGTGGCTTGTTTCCCTTTAGAAGGTAGTTGTATCACCTGTCTTGTTTTATTTTAAAACAAACTGTAAAGAACTCTAAGGGGCTGGGAAGGTGGCTCAGTGGTAGAGCACTTGCCTTGCATGCATGAGGCCCTGGGTTCGATTCCTCAGCACCATTTAAACAAAAAGAAAAAAGCCGGAAGTAGCACTGTGGCTCAAGTGTAGAGTGTTAGCCTTGAGCTGAAGAGC